CTCCCCCTCCCCCTCTCCCTCTCCCTCTCTCCAGACAGTCTGGAATCACCCTAAATTGCTTCCCAGTTTGTACCCACATCTGCTCTTTCCTCTGCCTGGAAATGATAGGATTTCAGAATTGCGAGCTTGGTTGTCCTCCTGATTTTCCTTCTAGAGTAGCCTTATTCAGGGAGCAAATGGCTTCGGGGAGGGGGGTGTCTGCTGTGTCTACTAAATTCTTTCTTTTGCATGTGTAAAGAATGGAAATTCCTGGACCTCCAGGCAGATGTAGGGACCTTCATGAGAAGCTGTCAGGGGCAGGGGTAGGCAAAGATCAAGTCAAGAGAATCCCTAAGAGCTTCGAGGCTGGCGTGGCCCAGCAGGGGCCTCTCACATACTTGTTTGAGCATCTATCTAGGTGGACGCTCAGTGCCACTGGGGGACGAGGTGGAGGCGGGATGGGCGTCAGGAGGCTAGCAAGCTTGTTCTGCTGACCTGACCTGTGCTTCTCGCAGCCTCCCAGACCGTGTAGGTTCGGTGTCCTGCGTCCAGGTAGGATAGGGAGGTTGGCTATTAGCTCTGGCTACCAGAAGGTGACCAAGGACTGATCAAGAGACCGTCTCACATGCTAATGCCAGAGCTGAGACGAGCCTCGGGTCAGGAGGGCTTGGTGCCTTGGCTTAGGGGTCGCCTCTCCACCCAGGTTTGCCCAGGACCTCCTGGATGTGGGTAGGGAAAGCCATCCCCAGGGAGCTGGACTTCTGAGGACACGCAGCCAGGAAGTGTGACGCGGTCGTGGGAGGCCTGGCCTGGAGGAGCCCTTCCTCTCTCGCTGTGTGACAGAGAATCGCAGGGGCGATGGGCGGGGGCCTCTGCCGCCCAGAGCCCCCATTACCTCAGTGTACCTAGGGCAGAGGACTCGACAGCCGGCTTTGCAGTTCCTTCTGTTCTTCTAGCATCTATTCCTCAAGGAAGGAGAGACTAGAAAACTTTCTTGCCTGCTTTCTGTCCCTGTGAGGGTGGCCCCATCGTGACCCTGAGCTGTCTCCTCGGGGCTTTTACTGTCCCTGCCTTCCTCCAGCCATCTCTCCGCGGGGCTCTTCCCTGTTCCGACAACCTCACAGGATGGTGGATGGAGGAGGGCAGGGGCAGAGGCTCTGGGGAGCAGCGAGGCCAGAACCCCACCAGAGAAGGGAGTTGTTCATGGGCAGCTCCCTGGCCTCAGGCAGGACGGGACTGGAGGTGATTCACATGCAACAGTCAGGCCAGCAACGATGGGAATGGTGCAAGTCAATAAAGGGTGGAGAGCTAGGCAGTCCCCTTGGCTCCCGGGGAGGGAGAGCCCTGGGCACTGGCTTCCTGGCCCGCTTGGGTCCTGCTCCCTGCAGAGTGGGCTCCATGCGCCAGGCCAGGCCTGGTAGGGAGGGTCAGGAAGAGCAGCCTCCCAGGGAGCTCGCCTGTCCTCCCGGGGAGCTGGCTGTATCTTTCCTTTTTTGTGAATGCAGCTAATTCCTTACCTGCCGTGCTCACTTTGGGGTCTCCTGAGTGGGAGGCAGAGGAGGAGGAGATGGACCTTAGAACCTTCAAGGAACTGCGGCCTTTCTCGAACCCGGAGCTGGTCTTGATGGATGTCCTTCAGGGCCTAAGCAGCAGTGACTGGTGAGGTGACCCCTCCTTGTGTGTCCCATGGCCCAGGATGGGTAGGGTGGGATGCAGGTCTGTTGGGTTTGCAGAAGAGCTCCTGCCCCTGCTGCCCTTCTCTCCCTGGGCCCTGGCACCATGGAAGGAAAAAGCATTTGTGTGCATGCGTGCGTGCGTGCGTGTGTGCACAGGTACCAGTGTGTGGATCTCTGGTTTCCTTTGCGTGGCCTGGGTTCCCAAGCGGCCCCATGCGTTGTTCTGTGAAGTCCCAGAGGCAGACAAGACAAGCATGAATTTGGCTTCAGAATGTGGGGACCAAGAAAGTCGCAGCCCTTTGTTTCTCTAGATCAAAGTAACCTGCCGTGTGCTCTCCTCCCGCTGCACCATGGGACACCCCGTCTTAGTCCTGAGTGGTTCAGAACTGTCCCAGAAAGCCCTCTAGGAGAAGTGTCTGCTTTGTGTCAGGGACACAGACAGGTCCCGCTTGACTTCAATCCCAGAACTGCCAGAACTGAAGACTGGCTGGGTTCCCCGTAAGATGGCTTGTGCTAACCAGCCACACTCTGGGAGGTTGAGGCGGGTTCAAGTCCAGCCTGGGCAATTTAGAGACTTGGACAATATCTCAAAATAAAGGGGTGGGGCTGGGCAAGCTGGGCACGTAGTTCAGTGTAGAAGCCCTGGGTTCAATTTCCAGTGCTTAAAAAAAAAAGGTTTATGCCAAAGGAACAGTTAGGACTTCAGGCCTAGGTATTGCCCCAGGAAGGCCGGCCTCTGAGGGAGTCCCAGCCTGCTGTGGGATGGGACGGGGAAGGACCCTGGTCTGCAGAGGGAGCAGGCTCCTCCCTCTTCCCCTGCCTGTGACTAGCCCAGCCTCGCTTCTCAGGCAGGTGAAGGAGAAGAGCCTGGTGAGCATCCAGCGCCTGGCAGCCTGTCACCCGGAGGTCCTCGCTGGGAGGCTGCACGACGTGTCGTTGGCAGTGACTGGGGAGGTGAGGCCTCCCCGCAGCCTATGTACCGTGCCCTCTGCCCACCCCCAGCCTCCCTCCTTTCCCTGGTGCAGGGCTTCAAGGTGGGTTCTGCAACAGCTGTGACGGGAACCGTGGCTCCCCACAACGTGGGTGGCCCTGCCTATTTCTCGGTCCTCAGCTCCCAAGGTAGAAGGGCCGTGTTCTTCACAGGAGAAAACCAAGGCCAGGGCTTCCTTATTTGCAGTCTTTGGAAACTGAAACATCTGGAGCCCCACGTGTCCTTTTGTCACAGCCTCAAGATGTCTGATGTCCCATTTGTCCTCTGGACCCAAAATGTCTGAGGAGATTGTTCTGGGCCAGGTCCTGGCCCATCCTAGGTCCTCAGAGAGAGAGGCAGGGATGCCAGGAACAGACTGCTCCTGTGGAGTTGGAGGGCTCGGCACAGAGGACGCTGCTGTGGCTGTGCCTTCCTGCACGTGGCCTGGGCTCTGTGTCTTCTGTGTCCTCCGCTGCCTTCTCATAGCAGTGTGCGGGTCAAATCAGACACTTCTTGTAAACATGCTTTGAGGACTGAATGGTACCAATGTCATCTGATAATGATGAGATTCATAATTTTGATGCTTACAGAATGGGACTGTTCGCCCAGAGCTGCTGTCGGGCCCTTGTTTCCAGTGTGGCAAGGGGTGTGTGTGGGGTGGAGGAGTGGGGTAGTTCCATCCTCTGTGTCCCTGAGCCCTTGGCAGGGCCCAGCAGTCCTGGAGGGTCTCTCTGCTCCCGCTCCCCAAGGTCACCAACCTCCGCTCCAAGGTGTCCCGCCTGGCCATCAGCACCCTGGGAGCCCTCTTCCGGGCTCTGAAGAGGAGCATGGACCAGGAGGCTGAGGAGGTCGCCCGCTGCCTGCTGCAGAAGATGGGGAGCTCCAGCGAGTTCATCCAGCGCGCGGCCAGCCGGGCCCTGGGTGCCATGGTGGAGAACGTAACCCCTGCCCGGACCTTGATGGCCCTCACCTCAGCAGGCG